TTTTTGGTTGCACCGCGCGGCTTGTGGGATCTTAGTTCCCTGACCAGGGATTGAACCCGAGCCACAGCTGAAAGCGCCAAGTCCTAACCACTGGACCTCCAGGGAATTCAATGATCTATTTCTTGAATGAGTGGTAGATACTTAGGTGTTTGCTCTGTGATAAATCATCAAACTGTAAAAATAAAAATAGGGCTTCCCTGGTGGCACAGTGGTTGAGAATCTGCCTGCTGATGCAGGGGACACGGGTTCAAGCCCTGGTCTGGGAGGATCCCACATGCTGCGGAGCAACTAGGCCCGTGAGCCACAACTACTGATCCTGCATGTCTAGAGCCTGTGCTCCGCAACAAGAGAGGCCGCGATAGTGAGAGGCCCGCGCACTGCGATGAGGAGTGGCCCCTGCTTGCCACAACTGGAGAAGGCCCTCGCACAGAAGCGAAGACCCAACAGAGCAAAAATAAATTAGTTAATTAATAAACTCCTACCCCCAATATCTTCTTTAAAAAAACTAACTAAATAAAAATAAATAAAAATAGACAAAAAGAATTTTTTAAAATTTCCAAAAAAATCAAAATTCCATATAAAACTCATTCACTCATTCAAAAAAAAAAAAAAAAAAAAAGAAGCAGTCATGGGCAGCTCTAATGGCTGACGAAAACATTAAAATCCATGTGCCAGGCACCTTGCATGGGGGAGAAAGTCTTCAAAACGTTGAGCCCAAACCTTCCTCCCTGCCACTTCTTCCTCCTGGGTCTGTGTGTTCTGTCTTTGGAACAACGCAGATTGTATCTGGTTCCTGCATTTCCAGACAGCCTCACATATATTTGAAGACAGCTATGAAGTTCTCCTTAGACTTTCTTCTTCCCTGTTTATTCAGTCTCTTCTCATATCTCATTCCCTATGTGAGATTCAGTTTTCTTATAAACAAGCTTTTGTTTTAAAGTGCACATGTGGGAGGGCAGCGCATTAAGCTTAATCTGATGCTTCCCTTCCATCAAACTGTCTTGAGGGAAAGGAGTGGGGAGGGTGCTGAGAACAGAAGCAGTTGGGAGCATGGTTCAGGTGCCAGCCCAGGCTTGGAGAGGTGTCCATGCAGGATCTTGGGGTAGGCAAAAAGCAGCACAGGAACTCTGAGCTCCTGAGACTAAGGAAGGGGACGTGCCAAGAGCTAAAAAATACCAAAAGTGATGAACACCTGTTGAGCACCGACTATATGCACGCTGGGCACTTAGCTTGAATTGCCTGGCTTAATCCTCACAACTGTGTCACTAGGTAGGTACCGCTATTATCCACATGTTATAGATTGAGTAATCCGAGGGCTAGAGCAGGGAAATAACCTGTCTAGAAAACGGCAACCATGTTCTGCAGCCAGCACCCTAGCCTTTTCCTTAACTACCTTGCTCACAGAAAGATGAAAACCTAAATTTGCCTCCTTACCCTAGAGCCGATTAGTAATTATCCAGATGGAATCCAGATGCCCCAGACTCCTCCAGCCTTCAGGAGTCCTGCGGTACACAAGTAACGAACCCCACTCCTATACCAGGTCCCTAACTATTTGAATCCCCAAGGAATGGTCTGTGCTCCACCAGTCCGTCTTAGATGTTTTTGGCTCTCTGAATCTGCCTGCCTCACCACTCCTGCCACGGGGAAACCCTTGTACTTCTGAACCTCATGGCACAGTTGAGACCAGACGAGACTGTTTAGTGAGACTTGTTCCCAGGGTCCCCTACTGAGCAAATCTCACGGCAACTTCCAGCCAGGTTGCAGTGATCAGTTTACCCTCCACCTTCCCCACTGTGAGCCCACCACCTCCAGAGTCAGTCTCAACAACTTTGACACTCCCAGAAGGTAGACCCTATTTGCAGAGATGTAGTCACCCAAGGGGAAGTGATGTGAGCTGATTAGCACCTCATGTCTCTCCATTTCTGGATAGGATCTTGGCTTTACCATTGCAAAACCAAAGAGCCCATTAATTAAGGCCCTCCTCCTCTACAGAAACTTGCAAACTGCATAGCAAGTCTCAGCCAGGGCCTCATTATACAAACACACAATCACATTGAAAATATTACCTTTTTAAAAATATATATATACTAATAATTTCTAAAGAGAATATATTTGGGACAAAGGCATTTCTTCGCTTGTTCGGAATCTAGACTCATACGGTGGGAGGACCTTGCTTTAACTCTTAAAAGCACGGTGTGTTAACTCTCATTTTATCACCTGGGTCTTCCTTCTGACCGATGATGATTACAACTGAGAATTATTTTTACTATAAGAATCTGTGGAAATCTCTCAAGATCCAGTACTGTTGGGCTTGAAACCATGAATTGACAATTTTAAGACACACTGAAAACTGGCTCTAATGGTTAGTGTTATTTTAAAAAACATATACACAACTTTGAACTTGTGTGAATGTAACTGACACTGATGAACATGTCCAGTGTCTTCCTGGTAGAGGTGAGCTGGAAAATGAAAGAACCCAGATACCATAGGGACCTACAAGAAGGGAAATGAAGGTGTGGTTTTGGTGCCTGGCTTCAAAGGCTAGTGGCAATCACGAACCCAATCTGTCTCTTTCCAGCTAGACCAATTTTCTGTAAAGACAGAAAAACCCCAGACAGCCAAACTTCCCCTGCAAAAATGTTAATTTAACAATGTCCCAGTTTCCAAGCTATCTGCAGCTGATTTTTATAAGCACACTGATAACCCAGGCACCAGCAGGGTGAGGGAATGGCTAGTGTGCCAAAGCTTAGGCTCCCCAGCTTGGGGTCTAAGTCTTCCTTCTTTTCCCTGAAGTTCCAGCTCCTTGATGAACTTATGTTTACTCATTCCATTATTATTAAGGACAGAAATGAATAGACTAGAAAAGAGGTTCTTTTTTTTTTCCCATCCCAATAAATCATCCAGTAAATAGCACTGAACAGCCTCCAATCTTGATAGCTGGTTGCACATATGAACTCTGCTGTGTAAAATCAGCTAGTTCACGTTTTCTTAGTTCTCAGATCCTCTTGATAGCAGATCTCTTTCTTTGTGTGCCCAGCCCAGGGCACAGGCCCAGCAACTTCTCTCTGCTGCCTCACACATACTGCATCAGACATACACATTCCACCTATTAGCATCCATTGTGGGAGGGGGGGTGTTAATAGAGACAGTAAACTCACTAAAAAAATATCTAAACAGATTCAGATTCTAGACTTAAAGGACCTGCCACCTTAGGCTAAGTTTATGAATATTATAAATATCGATTAAGAGCTAAATTCCTCTTTCAAACAAAATGATTCTTTCTGAGATCCAGATTGACTAATTACTCCCCATAACTAATTTGCTCTGAGAGTCAAAGCCTCCTATAGTATATATGAAGCTTCTTTGTGTTCAAACGCTTGGGGGGCGGGTAGGATCACTGCCTCACAAGGCAGGCTGTTTCAAATTTTTGACAACCTGTGGAGTTACAAAGTTCCTCCTTATACTGAGTCCAAATGACCTCCTGTAGCTTTCACCAATTTGGTCTTGGATCTACGCTCTGGAGAGACACAAAATAAACCTAATCCTTCTACTAGACAGCTAATCTCTTTATATGATTCTCTTAAAAGAAATTGTGGTGACTCAGGCTACAATTCTATCAAGGATATAATAAACCCAATATCTTCCCCCTCATCCTCCTTTTAGTGGCAGAGTGAGCTTATGTGAGTATACTTAACATGCTGGGAGAAGGGAAAATGCTCCTCTCTGGCAGACCCCAGTGCTACAGGCCAATTCAAGACTCCAGTTTGGAGGCTGCCTGTGGGCAATCAGAAATGGATGAGAGTCTCACAAAAGGTAGTGCTGGACAGGCAGGATCCCTCAGATTTTTCTCTGTTACAACCCACAGCCTTCTGCTGGCTAAAGTGCATGTCTAGCCCCAGGGATTCTCCTTTTAGCCTGGATCAGGGGCCCTGGGTTCTCAACCTTTTGTGTGCATTAGAACCCAGGGAGTTTTCCATAGGGCCCACCCCTTGAGATTTTGATTAGTAGAAATGAGGCAGGCCTAGTAATCTGTATTTTAACAAGCACTCCAGGTACTGATGTCCTTTCTACACAGATCTGAATGAAGAAAAAAAGATGAGCCAAAAAATACCTCGTATTTTGGCTTTGTTTAACCAGAAAGCACACACACTTATAACATTTAACTTATTGGTCCTATCCATTTAAACAAAATTATTAAATTTCATGTTATATAAATAATAAAAATAACACTTCGTCATTTATTATTCATCTGATACTAATCATTAAGTCTATCAAAATTCTTCCAGAATAAGGAGAGGACTAGTAGCATCATCTGCAGGTTACAGACTGATAAACTGAAGTTTTGGGGGAAGTATTTAACATGGGCCTTCAGAAGGGAGCCAGGCTCCTGCACTGCAGCCTAGTCCTGTCTCGGGCTGGCCAACAGAACAGGGTGGAGGACCAGCTTTGAGGAACTCTATAGGGAGAGTACGTTTTGGTCCAACACTTAGCTGATCCACCTCGTGATTGAAGTTAACACAAAAATCACACCTGGATAAGCACCACCACACACATGCTATGCAATTTTGTGGGAATTTTAATAAAGCTAAAGAGGGACTCTAGCACACAGGTTACAACAAGTTAAAACGTTTCCCAGTAGTCTAAGTACCTGGGAAGTTTAATTATGCAAAGAAAACCCTCTTTCCTTTGAGAACAACAGCTTATTTCTTTTCAAAATAGCTGCTGTGGTTCTTTTACAAATATAAAGGGTGTCTCATCTCTAACTCAGCCTTGAAGTAATGCTGTCCCAAAGCAGCCCTGGTGACCTTGTTTCCTTGTGGCAAAGTGAACCCATGTCCTACCCAGTAATTTAGCACTTAGTAAACTGACTCAAAAAGTTGAGCAACAAATTTAGTAAAAGGTTTTGGTGATAGGAACTTACTTTCCTACTAAGACACTTCATGCATATTTGTTGCAAAATAAACTTATTTTAGAATAAAAGTAGCAAAGGCATCTAACTTTCATTTTCTGTCAGGGATGAAGACTTTCACTGGTTGGCTGACCTTCCTCTTCTTCCTGGAGCTCTCAGAACTTTGCTGACTGTACACAAAATTCATTCTTTGAATCTGTGAGAATCACCAGAGAGAGGCACAATTCAGCAGAGATTTTGACGTCTGCACAAGGCATATACAAGACAGGTAGACCAAGCATTAATCCCTCTTGCTGCATAACCAATCTAAACCTGCTTTCCTGTGGGCTGGTTTAGCCCTGCACAGAGGCCCTGCTGCCAGTATCAGAGTCTGGAATTCAAAGTTTCAGGAGCTGAGGCCCCTGGATGCAGCCAGTTTCGGGGACAATTTCTTGGCTCTCTTTAGTGAATTCAGCACATCCAGCTCTTGAGAGAAGAGTTGTCAAGGTGTGGGGCCAACAAGGGGCAATTAAGGGTCAGGAGAGATCTAGGGCACTGGCTGTTTAGAGGCAAATAGAATTGAAGTCCCTTTTCAGTTAGCAGAAACATACAGCCTTATTATTATTATTTTAATCGTAGGTTCAGATTAATGAATTAGGAAGGACCATGGCCCTTCTTTCTTCTGGATGAGACTTATATGTTATTGATTAAAGACAAGTTGATTAGTGAATCATCATAGACATATATTTCTCCATTGGGCTCAGCTTTGGTAAAGATTTTAGAATTTATATTTGCTTAACTGAGTGAACAACCAGATGTCAGACAATCCCTAATGCCTGGAATTCCAAGAAACACATGGAGGGCATTTTTATATTTTCCAGCCACTAGATGGGAGGAAAGGTTTTTCCATGTTCTCTGTTCTTTCTTTGGAGGAAAATGGAATAAGATATATATTTTTAAGCAAGACTTAGAATATCTAGTAGAGGTTCCAACATTATTCTTTTTTTATTTTGTTATAGATACAGGTTATTATTATTGACATGTTTTTACTACAAAATAGTGGAAATGTCATTAAAGCATTTAAGTACCATTTAGAACCAAAGATTGGGTCTAAAAATTGGGTCTAACTTTTCATTTTAGAAAGTAGTTGAATTTCTGATCTCAGAAACCACAAATTCCCTATGGCTTAAACCAAGACATTGACTATATAGAGCAGTAAAACTCTGAGAATATAAGTAGAGCTGCTTTTCAAGTAACTGGTTTGCTTAGATATGCAAAGTTTGAAATGCTCTGCTCTAAAGGAAAGGAAATAGCAACATAAAAACCCAAAGCACAAAAACCAACTTCTGCATCTAGGAGATGAATTTTTTACAGTGTAGCTGTAAGAAAAAGTACTTGGTAAAATTCAGCTTTTTAAAAAATGTTGCTTGGGCATGCTTTCTATTCAAATGAAATTATCCTCACTTCACTTCTATCAAGTCTGGATACACTGGGAAGAAAACAAGATGGGTGTACAAGTTGGTCTGATGGTTTAATAGTGTTTTTCTCTTTTTCTTCTTTGCTCAAAAGTAAACCAGAGTTTTATTACAAGTTTCAGAGCTGTAATTTTATTACAGTGAGTTCATCAGAACATCTTTAATAATGTATACAATCTCAAGGCAACCAGTGAGGTCTGGGAAGTCTCACTGGTTTATAGAAAACTAGTGGGTTCGAAAGCAAGAGTGTGATCAGTCAGGGGATACTTCCTAACATAGATCAATAGTCTATATTCTGAACTATATAAACCAACAAATTTATCCATAGAAAGCAACATTTTTTTGAGAAACATTTTTCAGGTGTGTTCTAACTGGCTGAGTTTGCACCTTTGATGCCAAAGCCACCCAGGCAAGCACTCCCCTGGAGGTGTCCAAGTTAAAAACCTGAGAGTTGAGGGAGACCTTCAAGATGGCGGAGGAGTAAGACGTGGAGATCACCTTCCTCCCCACAAATACATCAGAAATACATCTACATGTGGAACAACTCCTACAGAACACCTACTGAACGCTGGCAGAAGACCTCAGACTTCCCAAAAGGCAAGAAACTCTCCACGTACCTGTCCATGTGGCTGACAGGGTCTTGGTACTCTGGCCGGGTGTCAGGCCTGTGCCTCTGAGGTGGGAGAGCCGAGTTCAGGACATTGGTCCACCAGAGACCTTCCAGCTCCATGTAATATCAAACAGCGAAAGCTCTCCCAGAGATCTCCATCTCAACGTTAAGACCCAGCTCCACTCAACAACCAGCAAGCTACAGTGCTGGACACCCTATGCCAAACAACTAGCAAGACAGGAACACAACCCCACCCATTAGCAGAGAGGCTGCCTAAAATCATAATAAGGTCACAGACACCCCAAAACACACCACCGGACGCAGTCCTGCCCACCAGAAAGACAATAGTGACATGGACTTATATATACTACCAAATGTAAAATAGCTAGCTAGTGGGAAACAGCCACATAGCACAGGGAGATCAGCTCGGTGCTTTGTGACCACATAGAGGGGTGGGATATGGAGTGTGGGAGGGAGACACAAGAGGGAGGAGATATGGGGATATATGTATATGTATAGCTGATTCACTTTGTTATAAAGCAGAAACTAACACACCACTGTAAAGCAATTATACTCTAATAAAGATGTTAAAAAATGAAACAGAAACCTGGGAGTCGTCCATGGCTACTCCATCATCCTCACCTTAATATCTAACATCTAACTAATCACTAATTCCAGTTGATCCTACCTCCTTAATATCTTTCGAATCCATCCATTTTTATCTATTGTCACTGCCTCTGCTTTAGCCCAGGCCAATATCATCTCTCCCAATTACTGGGTCTCAGACTCCTCCTATTACTGCTTCTCCAATCCATTCTCCAGGCTGGAGCCTAATTAGTCTTTTATTAAATCTGACCACATAGCTCTACTGATTCGCCATCCATCCATTAATGACTTCGCATTGTTCTCAGGCTAAAGTCCAGACTCTTTATGGTCCTGGCCCATCTCTGCAGTTTCATCTTGCTGCAGACTTCCTTGGCCACTTGCAGTTCTCAAATGGGCCCTGCTCACTCCCCTCTGGACTTTGTCTTTGGTGCCCACTCCCATGCTCTGCTTCTTCTTCATCACTGGGTGCAGGGTCCGCCCTGGAGTTTCTTCTGTCTCTTGGCCTCCCTGACACCCTGGCTGTGCTCTGTTCTTACCCCTTTTGTAACATTTACTACATGGTATTATCAGGCCTACTTACCAGTCTTCTCATCCAGAGTATAAACCCTTTGAGGTTAGTGACAATATCTTAGTCATTTTTGTATTCCCAGTTTCTGGCATCTGGTAGGTGCTCTTAAATTACTGGCTGAATGAATGAATGTGCACAGTGCTGGGCACAAATACCATGTCTCTAGTAATATAAAAATGAATAAGACACAGTTGTTTTCAAGGATTGAGTCTTATAAGGGAGAGACATTAAGCACATGATTGCAATATAATGCAATACAACATAATAGACATTCATTCCTTCATTCAACAATTATTAATGATTGGCCAGCTCTGTGCATGGTATTGTTCGAGGTGCTTGGGGCACATTAGTGAAAAAATGAGATAAAAATCCCTGCCCTGTTGGGCTTCCCTGGTGGCGCAGTGGTTGGGAGTCCACCCACCGCTTCAGGGGACGCGGGTTCGTGCCCCGGTCCGGGAGGATCCCACATGCCGTGGAGCGGCTGGGCCCGTGAGCCATGGCCGCTGAGCCTGTGCGTCCGGAGCCTGTGCGTCCGGAGCCTGTGCTCCGCAACGGGAGAGGTCAGAGCAGTGAGAGGCCCGTGTACAGGAAAAAAAAAAAAAAAAAATCCCTGCCCTGCAGATTTTACAATCTGGCCATGTTACATTTTGGCTTAATGATTTCCAATGGCATCTCACTACTTTTAGGACAAAGTCCAAAGTTCCTGCCTTGGCTTTTCATACACCATCACTGGTTCTTTACACTTCTAGGGAAGGAGAGGGGTCACAGATTGGCTATAAAACCCTGATGAAATCTCTGCAGTCATTCCTTAGAAAATTGCTCCCACTCCCACTCCCACACTCATCCACTGTGATGGGCCATTTGAGGGGGCTCCTACCCCCCGAATACCTCCCAATTACAGCCACCCCCCCTCAGGGCCTGGCTGTGCCCAGCAGTACCAGCCTCATCTCCTCTACTCTTCCTCTCACTCTCTGCCCTCTCAGTTTTCTCATACCTTGCTTCGTCTTGATTCTGGACCTTTGCACATGATATTCCTTCTGTTGGAAAAGCTCTTTCCCCTACACCAGCCCTCTTTTTGCCTAATTAATTCCTACTCATTCTTCAGATCTCAGCTGAAAAATTAT